ATTAATATTGAATGTGCCCTAGTGTACTTCAGATCTTAAAAGTATATATATATATATATATATATTTTTTTTATATAACATTATTCTACTTCTATATAGCCACTTTCATGACTGTTTCTTAACACACTTTTAAAAAGTGCACTTTATAATAGTGTCAAATTAAAAGTTTTACTTTAAAGACAAAGCTTCACGTGAAATGAAGAGGATTAAGTAAGCAAGTATGCTTTTAAGAAGTACACTTATTTTGATGTGTTGACTAACGTACTAAAGCTTTTAGTGTGAATTAATTTACAATTACATTTATGATATATTTTAAATCATGCACTGAATTGCAACATTACAAATGTGTAATATATTTAAATACATGACAAACTATTGTCAACAGAAATTATATTTAAGTATATTTTGGTTTACCATTAATGCTTTTTAATCGTATTTCAAGGACAATACAAGTAATTATGAAATTACATATAAAGATGTACTTTAGTGGGTCAAAAACACTCCTAACTGCATTTAATATAATGGCTAATTTAATTGTAAATAACATGCTATTAAATGTTCGAAACATTACACTCAGTTCACACTTCTTAGTGTATTAAGCATGCTAAAGTGTGCTTCTTTTTAACAAGGCTTAATTAGCTCGTGATGTCCAGTGTATGATCTGGCTGGTTTAAAGTGTCCATAGACTTATAGCGTGTCCTCAGCGACACACAGAACCTGATATCACACAGCCGCTGGGTTTCTGACCCCAAACGCCATCACTTCATCTTTGATGGTTTTTGCATTTAATATCCAGTTACATTAATATATATTGTGTTTATATCCCAAAGGAGAGAGAAGACTAGACAATGATAAAAACAACTTTGAGAGGGGAACCGAAGACAAGTTCACCATAGAGGCTCCGAACCTGGGCAGAGTGAGGAAAATAACCATCGGACACAACAACAGGGGATCCTCGGCTGGATGGTTTGTGGAAAAGGTACAAACTCAGTCACAACTCAATAAAGATTTCAATATATCACAGGCTCTTTAGAATAGAATACAGACTCAGAGAGCATTTGCTGTAATCAGCTCACACAAACACATGCTAAGCACTGCAAAAAAATAATTATAAATAATTTTGGTGCTTAGTATTTTTGTCCTGTTTTCCAGTACAAATATCTAAACATCCTTAAATCATTTACTTGAGAATCAAAATGACTTAAGTCTCGTAGTCTGAAAAATGCATTACAATGAAGTGAATTTATGCTTAAAACAATAACAATTATGTGTCAATTGAAAATTTGCTTAATTCAAAGGGACAACAAAATTATTTTTCTAATAGAAAAGTTTTGAGCCTAAAATTCACTTCATTTTGATACATTGTTCGGAGACGAAGACTTTTGTCCTTTTGCCATTCTGAACACTCTGGCAAACTCATAGCAACCTGTCAAAGTCTACAATACAAAATTACAATAATAAGACACTTTATAACAGATAATCTTAAGTATGAAACCAAACCACCAGTAGGTGGCAGCGACTGACTGTTTTAACGAGGGAGTTATTGAGTCATTAATTCAACCAATTCGTTCAAACAGCTGATTCATTCAAGAATGAAGCAGGTGCCTGCCTTTATGAATGTCCTTACATTAATAAATGCAAAAATGTTGGGGTAATGCTGTTATGTCCCCACCAATGTCAAAATCAAGCTATTTTGTGTTCATCTGCCTCACCTGAATCTGTTCATAGATTTGTGTTGGATGTTATCTTTGGAATGGAAATATTGATATTTTATTTGTGAACAACCTATTTTATTTTCTCGCTTATTTTAGTTAATGTCATAAAACTAGCGAGATGAGCCAGTAGTAGTGCTGACAGTGTCGTATAAACATGACTGAAGACGTGAAAAGCGGTGGAACAAACAAACCGAATCAATTGAGTGAGTCATTTACGCGGGAACTGCTCCAACTGATTCAACCACAAACTCCATTCTCTAGCAAAAAATCAGATCAAAGAGCCATTCATTTTTGAATTTCGACATCACTTGTAATGGTTTTAAAAAGCACGTAGTGATGGGTGAAATCGAGCTTTTCGAAACTCCAAAACGTTGGAAAATTATTTAGCTACTATTTCGATGCTCTCCAATCGGATCGGGTATCGCAAATCATTTGATTCAGATTGGGACTTCAAAGCGCATATCGCAAATCATTTGATTCAGAATGAGACTTTGGGACGTGTATTGCGAATAATTTGATGTAGATCGGAACTTCGGAACGGGTTCGTGAGTCATTTCACGAATTGAATGATTCGTCATATGTGTTCCGAATATGAAGTGATGGTTTGCGAATTGTTATTTAGATCGGGACTTCGGAGCATGGATAGTGAATCATTTGATTTAGATCAGAACTTCGGTGCGGGTTCGTGAGTCATTTGATTTAGATCGGAACTTCGGAGTGGGTTTGTAAATCTTTTGATTCATATCGGACCTACGGAGCGGGTTCGTGAATCATTTCACGAATTGAATGATTCGTCATATGTGTTCCGAATATGAAGTGATGGTTTGCGAATTGTTATTTAGATCGGGACTTCGGAGCATGGATAGTGAATCATTTGATTTAGATCAGAACTTCGGTGCGGGTTCGTGAGTCATTTGATTTAGATCAGAACTTCAGAGCGGGTTTGTGAATCATTTGATTCAGAATGGAAATTCGGAGTGCGTTCGTGAATCTTTTGATTCAGATCGGGGCTTTGGAGCACGGATCGTGAATCTTTTGATTTAGATCGGTACTTCAGAATGGGTTCGCGAATCTTTTGATTCAGATCTGGTCTTCGGAGCATGTATTGTGAATCATTTGATTCAGATCGGCAAATTTGGAGCGTGAATCATGCATCCAAAAATATGCAAAAAAATGCTGCTGGGGTGTGAACTCCATGAATCTGCTCTTTGGATGCAGGGATTCTTTTATATCATCAAAAAACTCACCAATCCAAGGCACTCGAAAAAGTTTTTGATGAGTTTTTTGGAGCACGAATCATTTGATTTAAATTGAGAATATTTTTTTCTGATTTCTTTTGTTCTTTTGTTTATTAAACAGTACAAAACTTCAAACCATTAAGGCAGTGCAGTTATGAAAAAAAAAACAATAAAGAAAAAAGAAAGAAAGTGTACACATTTACAAATCCCTTAAGAAAATCAACCATGGTTTTATTATAGCTAAAAGACTAACCGTAGTTTTTTTGGGCGTAGGCCTATTAGTTACCATTTGTACAGTATAACCAAATTTTTTACTACTAATACAATGGTTAAGCATGATTTAATGACAGTAACCATGTTTGTTTTTTTGCTTTAAAGTAAAACCATGGTGTCAGACTCTGTTCCATGTTTCGTGTGTGTCCTGCTCCCCTTTCATAAGGGATGTGTTGCCAGGTTAACAAAAAAAGTAATAAATGTACACTTTAAGAGAACACATAGGATGAATATAGAGATACAGTTTTTTACGATGAACAGAGCTTCGGATAGTTTCCATGTACTTGTCAAGATCAACTTTGAATAAAGAAAAGAGAGGTTTAGAGCCAAATTCTTCTGTATGTATGTGAAATTTAGCTAGTAGGAAACACAAATTATGTTATATTTTGCTATATTCTCAGTCGAACAATCCAAAGAAATCATGTTATCATATTGTTGGTTTTACATAATCAAAATTGTGTAATTATTGTCTGATGACTGTTCGAACATAAAACGCTCTCTTTATGAATTATGAGTATGTAAGCTACCTTAGCTATAAATAGAGACTTTAGATGACATGAAACTGTGGTCAAAAGTCTATCATAAATGTGAAAATGTTGGGGTAGCGTTTACTGCTTCAGTTCACTGAGTGAAACAGGCGCGGAATAATTAGCATATTCATAGATCCATGCATACTAAATAAGGTAAGCTTGTAGAGTTACATTCAAAAAACAAGTTAATTGTAACACTTAAATATGTCATTTTGATTATCAAAAGATGAGTTTTAAGGGCTAAAATTATACTGAATTATACTGTTTCAAACGTTTACAGCTACTTCATGCTCTCAGGCTTTCTCAAGCCAACATCAACAAGTTTGTCTTGAAGTTTTTCATCTTGTTGGAGAGCTGCGCTCCACCTCACATCACATCTCTCAGGATGAGGTCATTCTCGTCACCTAAACGAGATTTTTGTCACTTAAATATGTCATTTTGATTATCAAAAGATGAGTTTTAAGGGTTAAAATTATACTGAATTATACTGTTTCAAACGTTTACAGCTACTTCATGCTCTCAGGCTTTCTCAAGCCAACATCAACAAGTTTGTCTTGAAGTTTTTCATCTTGTTGGAGAGCTGCGCTCCACCTCACATCACATCTCTCAGGATGAGGTCATTCTCGTCACCTTATCCACACTGAAAGGAAACACCGCACTACTCTACTGGATTGGTTTTCCTGCGGATGAGAGCCGCCGCCTCAGATAGATATGCACATAGATTGTTCACACGGAAACCCAGCACTCACCTCTGCTGTCTGCTTTTATTTCAGGTCATAGTGGATGATTTGGGAAACAAGGCCGTGTACGAGTTTCCCATCGGCCGCTGGTTTGCCATCGATGAGGATGATGGGAAGATACAGAGAGATGTTCTGGTTGGAGGCAGTCAACCCACCGGTAAACATTGCAGAAGTATCACTTAGACAAAATCTCCTCGTGCAACCTCCAAACTAAAGCATTCGTTTAAAAAAAATCAGCATCATCACAATGTAATGTTGCGTCTATATTTACACTACTATTCAAGATTTTGGGTTGTTGAGATTATTAATGTTACTGAAAGAAGTCTCTTCTGCTCACCAAGGGTTCATTTATTTGATAAAAATGCAGTTCAAATTGTGAAATATTATTAGAATTTAAAACAGCTGTTTTCTATGTGAATATGTATTAAACTGTAATTTATTTCTGTGATGCGCAGCTGTATTTTCAGCATCATTACTCCAGTCTTCAGTGTCACATGATCTTCAGAAATCATTCTAATATGATGATTTGCTGCTCGAGAAACATTTCTGATTATTATCAATGTTGAACACAGTCGTGCTGCATGATATTTTTGTGGAAACTGTGATACATTTTATTTTTCAGGATTCTTTGATGAATAGGAATTTTAAAAGAACAGCATTTATTTTAAATAGAAGTCTTTACTGGCACTTTTGATCCATTTAATGCATCCTTGATGAATAAAAGTATTGATTTCTTTATTTTTTTCTTCTTACTAACCCCTTTAACTTTTGAATGGTAGTGTATCACGTTTTCCACAGAAATATCGTGCAGCACGACTGTTTTCAACATTGATAATAATCAGAAATGTTTCTTGAGCAGCAGATCAGCATATTAGAATGATTTCTGAAGATCATGTGACACTGAAGACTGGAGTAATGATGCTGAAAATACAGAAATAAATTACAGTTTAACAGATATTCACATAGAAAACAGCTGTTTTAAATTCTAATAATATTTCAAATTTTTACAGTTTTTTTAAGATCAAATAAATGCAACCTTGGTGCGCAGATGGGACTTTTTTCAAAAACACTGATGATGAGCCAGTCTGGACTCATTATAACATATGTTGTGTATATATATATATATTATATATTTTTGCAGGCATCGTGTACAACGTTCAGGTGGTGACAGGGAAGATCAGAGGTGCAGGTACCAACTCCAAAATCCACATGATCATGCACGGCTCCAAAGGAATGAAGAACAGCGGCAAGATCTTCCTGGAAGGAGGGAAGTTTGAGCGCGGCCTCACCGACATCTTTAACGTGGAGATCGCGGCGCTGCTCAGTCCGCTCAGCCGAGTCACGATCGGTCACGATAACGGAGGCGTCAGTGCCGGCTGGTACTGCGACAAGGTCAAGGCTCTGTCCTCCATTCGGTTCATTTCATGTGTCACCTTTGCTAAAACTTCACCGTTGATTATCATCGAAAATATTTTCAATTTGTCATTTAGTTTGTAAAAAACAGCAACAATTATTTAGGGTAACACTTTATTTCGATAGTCCACTTTAGACATTCTATTAACAGTAAGTAACTTTGCAACTACATGTCAACTAGCAGTTAGTAGAGTATTAGTAGACTGTCTGCTTAATATCTTCTAACACTTTCTTTGTCAACATTCTACTAACCCTAAACCTACCCTAACAGTCTACTCTGAGAGTTAGTAGACATGTAGATGCAGATTAATGAGAATTAGTTGACATGTAGTTGACATGTAGTTACAAAGTTACTTATAGTTAGTAGAATGTCTAAAGCGGACTATCGAAATAAAGTGTAACCTTATTTAGTATTAAGGCGAGACATAGCCTACTCTAGAGATTTTGGTCTATTTTGCATCCATAACATGTTTTTCCTTCTTTTTAGTTCATTTAAGTGTTTATTTTATTGCACTTTATCTGTTTGCGTCTGTAGATTTCAATTCCAATCCATATCTTCAAAGAGTTTTTTTCTCTTACAAGCACCACACTTTACAGTTTTATTCCTCTGTGTATTCTGAAGGTTCGGTTATATTTCATTCACAGTGATTTATACATTTTATTCCTAAAACATGGTGAAAATTTATTTGTTTTTTGTCTGTTGACTGTAATGTTAAAAAGTAACTGCAAATTTTTTCATCTCATAATTCTGACTTTTTTTTTTTTTTCTCAATTCTGAGTTTAATTCTCACAATTTTGTCTTTTTTACTTGCAATTCTGAGGGGAAAAAATAATTGTGAGATATAAACTCCGAGTTGCAAAATTTATTACAATTATAAAAACTAAAACAAAGTTTATATCTCGCAGTTTTCTTGTAATTCTGAGTGTATATCTCGCTATTCTGACTTGCAAACATAAAATAAAATCAGAATTGTGAGTTCAAAAGTTGCAATTACATTTTTTTACCTTCAATAATTTTCTGATTTATAGAGCGATAAAAAGAGAAATCCAAAATTCCTTCTAGAAAGTCTTTTAACTGTCAACAAAATCAAACAAGAATTTTGAACCTGGATTTATCTAATGTTCCGATTTATGCTCTGGAAATGTATGCAAATTAGTGCATATTTAATTAGATACTGTCTCATTTGCATATTTCAACATGACATTTTAGAAAACTTGTAATACAAAACAGTTGTCTTAATGTACGGTGATTAATCAACTGGGAAACTATGGTCATATATTAGTTACAAGTAACGCGAGTTACGTAATCAGATTACTTTTAACTAGTAAAGTAACGCATTACTTTTTAATTTACAAGAGAATATCTGAGTTACTTTTTCAAATAAGTAAGATTACTCTAGACAAACATTTGTGTGTCTTTGTTTATTGCTGAAGAATGTCTTCTTCTGTATTCTACTGTACTTTCCCTTCAGCCTGAGGCTTATTCATTTCACTTCTGGTGTGAAAAGGCTTTTATATTTGCCAAAAATATAACTTTTTTATTTTAAAAACAAACAAGCAAGCCCTGTCCAGATTTAAAAAGTAACACGAAAGTCACGTAACGCACTACTTTCCATAAAAAGTAACTAAGTAACGTGATTCGTTACTTTTTATGGAGTAACGCAATATTGTAACGCATTACTTTTTAAAGTAACTTTCCCCAACACTGGTTACAATATTTTCCCTTATTCACCTGTGCTGTCCTAAACTGAAAATGCAGCGTCTTTAAATGCTTCATTCGTCTGTGTTTTTTGTGTGGTAGGTGGTCATCTTCTGTCCGTTCACTGGCATCGAGCAGACGTTCCCCTGCTCTAAATGGCTGGATGAGGACGAGGCTGACGGGCTCATCGAGAGGGAACTGTATGAAATGGTGTCGCTCAGGCAGAAGAGGCAAAAAAGTGAGTATTGCTCATAATGTGAGAGAGAAGCAGGTTTTGTGAGGTTAAACGGATCTCCTGCTCCTCAGAGCATCCCTGGTCTCTCTGGATCTGGACATCAGATCTTCCAGGCGCGGGAACAGACGCGTCTGTCTTACTCCAGATATACGGAGAGAAGGGCAAGTCGGACGAGATGAGACTCAACAACAAAACCGATAACTTTGAGCAGGGCCAGCTGGACAAGTTCATGGTAAATCTGCCATTTTAAGGATAAAAATTGGTGATTTGGGGAGAAATTACCAAATGGCAAAATGTTAAGATGTGTTTTAAAATACATCAAATGGCTATATACATTTTTTAATTATTAATTTAAACATTTCATATGACATTGTAAATAGCCATTTTGCAAGGGTGGATACATTTAATTAAAGAACTGGTAAATTGAGTTAATTTTCATTCCACAAAGATTTGTGTGTAAATCTAAAACATATTTTGTGATTGGAAATATTTTCTTATATACCAGTGTTATTTTGGTGTCTCTAAGATAATATTACAGTTCATAAAATCTTTTGAGTTCATTTTTATATTTAATATTCACATTTTAGTTTTAATAAATTAGTTTAGGTTTTTTTTCTTCATTTATATTATAATTTTTTTAAAATATGTCCATATTGTTTTTTTTATGGTTTTAGTCAACTAGAAAAATCCTGTCTTGCAAAAGAACAGTATATATAATTAAGTGTTGTATTCTACGTTTTTATGATTTGATATGTGTTTTATTTTGATTTGTTTATTAATTTTAATTTTACATTTTTATGATTGAACTCATTTTGGTAAATGTTTTATTTTAATTTGCTATATTTTTTATTTTATTTTTTTACAATTTCATTCATTTAGTATGTGTATTATCTTAATTGTTTTTACGTTTAAAATGATTTATTTCTTACATTTTTATTATTTAATTTTAATGCATGTTTTATTTAGATTTTTTTATTTTAAAATGACTTTTATTCTACATTTTTACATTTTTATTCTACAAATTAATTTACTTAAATTTGTTCAGTTTGAACAAAAATTTCAAATGGACAGGATTTGTTGCTGTATGGATTGTCATTGTTTTTGCATTTCAGCAGTTCAAGCTATCTAATCTGCACTGAATATGATCCATTTATCATCTGTTTTATCAGGTTGAACTACCGGATCTTGGGAAGCTGTTTAAACTCAGAATCTGGCATGAGAAGAGAAATCCCTTCGCCGGCTGGCATTTAAGTCGAGTAAGAGCATGAGATGCTGCTGCATTTAATGTTTCACACTTGATATCTGAATAACAGTCTTCTTTATGTCTCCTAAGATGTCCATAATGAAAACTTTAACAAAGGAAACATATAAATTCCCATGTGAGCGCTGGCTGGACGCTAATGAGGACGATAACGAGGTGGTGCGAGAGCTTCCAGCCACCGGAGATCTCATCCCTGAACCTCTGCCACGTACATTATTATGCATTACTATTATCGTTAGCATTAGTCTACTAGACCATTTCGCTCTCTAATGGATATTTTTGTTCCTCCAGTTATCAAGTATCGCATCACAGTGTACACAGGGAGCGTGAGCGGCGGAGGAACAGATGCACATGTGTTTCTGTGTCTGATCGGGGATCAGGGCAACACCGGCGACCGCGCTTTGATCAACTGCAAAAACAACGTCAACAAGTTTGAGAAGGGCAACGTTAGTGGCGTTTCTGTGGAGCTTCTATGATGTGTTTGTGTTTGTCCATTTGTCTCTCTGACGCTCTGCCCTGCAAACACAGAACGTTCCCCTAACGTTAGCATTTGGTTATTCTTTGAGAACCAAATAACAACGTTCACATAATGTTGCTGGGAGATTATTTTTGAAATAACCAAAAAATAACTTAGACAGAATGCTCCCTAATGGTTATTTTTGGGTTATTATTTTGCAACCATAAAATAACGTTCCCAGAATGCTGCAGAGAGGTTATTTTTAAATAACCTATAAAAATAACTTACATAGAACGTTCCCCTAATGGTTATTATTTTGGAACCATAAAATAACATTTTACAGAACATTGCAGGGAGGCTATTTTTAACCCTAAAAATGGCAAGACCATAAAGAGACATCAGAAAATTAATTTATTGCTATTTTCCATCTTATTTGGACACAAATGATACAACTTGATCATTTTTTTTCAAAACATGACTTTTAATTTGGATTTTAATGTTTGTATCCCACAGGATACGTTGCCAGTTTGGGGGTATAAATTAACTGAAAACAGAACACTTGTTTATCAATGCTTGTTACAACATGGTTGTAATTCCAGATTACTGCTGAAGTGAAGCATTTCAAAAATAAGTTATAGACGTTTAAGTTTGCAGTAAAGATAATGCCGTTTTAAATTGTATATAAAATAAATACTTTATAAAATATGTTGCACTTCAAATTGCTATAAAATCTAAGCCATGTGTCTAATCAAGTTATGTTCCAAATTTGAAGTTGATATCACCAAAATTGTGGTTCCTGTGAGATTTTGTTTGGGCGCTATACCAAAAATAACCACTGGGTGACACCCAAACTCTATTGAATTCTTTTGATGCAGTTTTCTGTCACAAATCAATAATTTTGATCACTTCTATTACAAAACAGCTACCAAATATGGAACCTTGACTGTCAGACCTTTCCAACGATACGTGTTTTGTCGAGATTACAAAAAGATTAGATTTTCTAAAACACAAGCCACAAAATCACAGAGTATATATATGTGTGTGTTTTATATCTTGATTTATACCCCTAAAAGGGCGACGTATCCCCTGAGATACAAACATTTAGAGACAGATTACAAAAAATGTAAGCGTTTCATTCATAAAATTTAAATGTAAACCTAATAAGCTAATGCTGAACAACAGCTTTTTAATCAGGTAAGTCCCCTCCAACGTGTAAATATGTGAACTAGATCAACTTTTATAGGAGGGTGAGTAGATTTCCCACTACAGTTTTAAATGCTGCCCGTGAGCTAAACAAGGAATGTATGAACAAAGTCAATATATCTAAATATTCACAACAAACACCCTTTCAACGTGAAACCAAGAAATGAGACCTACATGTTCCCTGCCTCTCCCCACACAGCCTCCCAAATGTTTGTATCCCACAGGATACGTTGCCAGTTTTAGGGTTAAATAATTAAAAAATAAGGTATACAGAACGTTCCCTCATGGCTATTTTTACAATCTTGCAAACTAAATATCCAATTACAAAGTTGCAGATGTTTTTGTGTCATCATGACCTATACATAACTCTGACATTAGTTTAATACAGCATTTATTGAAATGTAGAAATTAGTTAAATGAAAATGATAAATCCAACTGTATGGCTAAAATATTACGCCAGAATGAGAAAAGCACAGAAATCAATGTACTGAGCGCCTTTGATCTGCGCGCGCTTTCTAAATTTAAAAATTAACGGTCGTTTCGTTTTACTGGCGAACTGACTAACATTCGTTTATCGATCTCTTTATTGAGGAATTTCTTATAATTACTATAGATATGAGAGTAAATACGATTTCGGAAAGCCTAACTGAAGAGAACATGAGAAGTTTTTGTTTACACGGACTAAACTGTAACTTAGGCCTACAATTCAGGTAAGAAATAAATGTAATGCTACTGATATCCTACTTTGTCAAATAATTGTTTATTCATATTTTAGTGTCTGTGAATAAATTATATAGTTTAAAGTTTAAAAACCATAGATTGTGTTTAAGTAATTGCTGAAGAAATGTAAAATATATTTGAAATACAGTAAATCTTACATATTAATGGATAAATGTAATCTTATTTAATCTTCCATGTGATTGTTGATGTGCTTGGATTATTTTTATTAATTAAAGCTGCAGTCCGTAACTTTTTTTGGGTTAAAAAATATCAATTTGAAATAAATTTTTGAGCAAGTACACCAGTCAGTGTCATCTCCTTACCTTAGCTTGATTCACAACGGTTAGCTTATAATAATGTTTTCTAATTTGAGAGGTACAGGTAGGAATTCGAGCGAAATTCGAACATGCCGCTGCGTCATTCCGTCACGTCTGAAAACATAAAAAGTTTTCCCGGCTAGTAGCTATATTGCATGTGAGGATCCTAGGTGACGGATTGTTTATAGCCTTTTCTCACAGCAGCTGGAATTATTAAACATCATTTTGATAGCAGATTGTAATCCAGAAGGATTATGTGTTTATGGAACACATGTGACTGAAATTAAATTATATTCCAGTTTTAAATGTGCATCTGATTACAGATAACCTACGTGGGATTACACAAGTTTTGTATTTTAAAGAGAACCAGGAAGAATAATTTGCTTTTTGGGTTAAAATAATTTCTTTATATGAAATTCGAATGGTATGACAATTATAGATTAGACTGTACAGAAATTGAAATCTACACGCTAATCAAACAATATACACATATTCACGCAATGCTGATGTTGTTAACATTAACAATTTGAGAACAAAGTATAACAGTAATAATAATTCGCACGGTTTTATGTGATATGAGCTAACCGAACGTTAGATTTAATCACCATTGGTAGCACGATTTGTAATAATGTTTTTTTCCTCAGTTGGTCAGAACAAAAGTGGCCGACTTGTTACTTACTCGTTCAGATGACAATATCCAGTGAAAATTCTTATTTGGGTTATATATTCCAAGACGTAGGCTAGAAATCTGTTATTCCTAAGTACAGTGTCCACGCCGGTGCGGTGACTGACAGCCACACATTCACCTCAAAACATTAGATTCATCCGCGCTGGAGCTGTGCCGATGCACAACCCACATAAAGAAGATAATTCTGCAAATAACTGCAATTGCAGGTTTCAAACAGAGATGGCGACAAAGAGGCAAAACTTACGGGATGCAGCTTTAAACACTAAATAAAAACAAGATATAATTTTTATAATATTGATTATAGGCGTCAATACATCCATCTTCCATACCATTTATGCTATTGGGCATAAACGTTAAAGTAACGTTAGAGTAACAGGGCTGTACAGTGCGACATATATGTATATATACGTCTCAATATAATGTACAACGCCACATGCATTCACATCAGTGTTAGCTCAGCGGTAGAGTTACTCTCACGGGACACTGCACTTATGCGCAATCACAAAACTACATTATTTCCATCTGCTTTAAAGCAA